TAATTCTAATACGACAAGGAGTGCCAAAAATGGACATTAAATGATATGGACTATTGGCGGCCTGCGTAAAACTTGGGCTACGACAAACTTCCATCTCTGTACTGCATATATTTCCGCTTGTTCAGTTTGTTTTAATCGATTAAGATATGACCTCCATTGAGAATGTTTACAAGCTTCTGCTTTGCAAGTCCCTACTAAACTTGAGCAAAGGTCTGATTGTGGGTGGCAACGTGTCCCAATACATGAGAGAAACTGTTCTTCAGTCATTTCCTTCTGAACATCTTACAATTGGCTTCCAACTAGATTTCGTGGATTTCTTGGAGGAGACAAAGCGGATATATATATATCATGATGGAATGGTTTGTGTTTCAGCTCAAAGACCATTGTCTCACAGGAAGGATATCCTGTCAGTTAATATTTTACTTGAAGATATTGTACGAAAGGAAAATATCATGCAATAAACTCCTCTGAAAATTCTTTACAGTTTATAAATACTGTCCAGAATAAAGATATTATCATTAATATTATTAAATATATCATTAGTACATGTATAATAATGATAATAACGATAGCTTTATTATGCACATAATATGCACAATTCTCAGAGTAGTTTATTGCATAATATTTACTCTTCAACCAGGAGTTTCATGTGAAACAGCCATCTCCAGTATATTATGTGACGCGGTGATGTTGCATCTGGAGAATAAAATAATCCCCTAAGGTGTTTCTTTGGTCCTACAGAAATGCCCAACGATAGACTTCAAACCAGACCCAGAGATACGACTAAATGATGATAGCAACAAGAACAAAAGAAAGTAGGATGTACTGTCTCGGATGGGAATTAAAGCAGGCCACCAATCATACTTATACTTAAGAATAGTAGATTAGATAAGAAGTGAAACTATATATAGCATATGTGGAAAGAATTCCTCCACAGAAAACAAGTAAACACAAAAAGTGAAATAAAAGGTTAAACAAAAAAAGAAAAAAATAAATACGAATCCCTTAAAACTTGGTTAGCTGACAATCCACCGCCATCACAAGTTGTATAGGAAAAACAAAACAAATATGCTAATATAATCTTTGAAGTTGCATATTTTGGCTGTTGAACTCAAGATTTTCCTATCCAAATAAAGGTGATAATAAACAGCAATAGGAATGATAATAATAATAACAACAACAACAACGCACTGGTTCACTCGTCCAACACATACCACCATTCATAAACAAGTTATTTACCTTTTGTAATAAATAGTCTAGTCATAATAATAACAGTGAAGTATGTTCTATTTAAAAATATAAAAGTAATTAGGTATGCAGTGGAAAACAATCACGCATACTTATTCAACACACAATCATGATATAATAAATAAACAAATAAGACAAGTGAACAAACACTTTTTTTTCCTTTTCACAAGAAAGTACTATTACATAAATAAATAAATCAAAATACTGAAGGGAGAATTTTTTGAAAAATTACTGTTGGTTAAACCTTATTGACATGTGAATAGCTCCTTTAAATGACTGAATGGTTTTAACATAGAACTTTGCACAGATGTGCAGCAGTTCGATTTTGAGCCATATCACTAATTGTCGCCAGCCAGTGGATTTTTACCATCTCGATGATCCCAACGAGGAACTCTATACCTCCCAACGTGGTCCCTTTAAATAGAACTTTATTTCGATGCATATATCACCACTAACTGACATCAGTTAGAGATCACTGGAAACAGGATAGAAGTGGGCACCTGTTTCGTCCTATTTTGGGACTCTTCATCGATGAGCACGCACCGACGACCCCATCAGGAATCGAACCCTGGTCCTCCAAGTTACGAGACCAGCTTTTTGACCACTTAGGTAGTTGAACAGGACCGTAAGTGCACAATGCTAAATAGTTCTAAACTAGGACGGAACACCAATACAGTGCTCCTTGGTTTTCGATGATTCTCTAACTGATGTTGGTTCGTGACGAAATTTATATTGAAATTGATCCAAGTCCCTTTAAAACCCACAAGATATATACATAGCTGATACTGTGGTTTTAAGCATAATGAGACCACTTCCAGTAGACCAAAGAATCTTCATATGCCAATATCAATATATCAACACTTTACAGTGAACAAGAATGGAAAACGAGAGACTATTTCAATTGATCGAATCAGACCCGCATGCACCGACAACGACTTCGAATCTACATCGACAGCTGCGCAATCAAATAATCAAACATCCGATTCCACTCCACCGGCACCAAGTCTTATCCTCCCTCCATATCAAGCACGTAGTGGTCGGCAAATCAGCAAACCGGCTCGCTACGTTCATTTTGAGGACTAATAAAAAATATATAATTACAAATTATTATTATCTTTTTCGTTTAGACATTATTATCATGACCGTTAGTATTTCGTCGTGAACTTTGATGTCAAAGCGACTTTCATAAAAAACGTTCATTCACTAAATTAGGCACATAACACAGTGAATATTTCAAAAGAAAGGTTTCGACGGTGGTTTTATTATTATTCCGTTGATCTCTGAATGGAACATAGGGTTTCAACACCACATCTCTACTTCATCCTGTTCTCTACAGTCCCCTTCAACTGGTTCCACGATTGCCCGTAAGCTCTCATCTCCTCCTAACACGATCCGCCCGATGTCATTTTCCGTTGATGGTGACTAACGCTTGCTGTTGTTGATTGGCTACCTGCATCACCTCCGCTTTCTCTATATTCACTTGAAGTCCTATCTCCAATGTTTGCCTCTCCTAACAACTTCTTGGTTTCTACCCGTAGACCTTAGAGTTTATAGGAAATTAAAAGTAAGTCATCTGCAAAGTCCACATCTTCTACGGTCTTCTTATCCGTCCAATGTATTCCCATATCCTCACTCCCACGCACAGTTTGCCGCATGATACGGTGATATTAGACAGTCTTGTCCTACTCCTTTATTCACTTCAAAGACTTCTTCGCTGAGTTTTCCGATGTAGATCACTTGACATATGGCCTTGTCATATAGCTGTTGGTTGAATGAAGTTGACAAAGCTGTGTATTACTGCACTCCATAGTGTTGAAGCAGTTCCCAAATTACTTTGTGGTTAACGCTGTTGAAGTTCTTTTCAAAGTCGATGTAGTCACCTAGCTTACTATATGGCCCTAAGCCCAGAAAAAGAGCGGAGGCCGAGCGTGTGGCTAGCGACCCTACCTCGGAATTAAACCTAATCCCTACAGAAATTTATAAACCTGGTTTATAAACTCGAATTGCACAAGCCTCCTCTACAATTGCAAGCATCTTCTTGTTTCTTTGTCTGCTGACAATAGTGAATGACTTGACCGCGTCGATACCACGTTCATAGTTCACAAGATGTTTTGTTATTGAGGATTTTGGCACTTTGCACTCAGCTGTTTTCAACTATTCTGGCAAATGCTCCATCATGCGAGTAGACAATCGCCTTTCTGTACGACCTATGTATTTGCTTCCACAAACACACTCAAATCCTGCTTTATTAACCTTTACTGCATGTTTTAGATTAAGTGCAAATTTGCATAAGCTATTCACAATAAGAATGCCAAAACAAACAATAGAAATGCCTCTCTCTCTCCATAATGTCACAGCACATCAAAAGGTAACTTTTCCTTCGACAATACATTCCTTATAAACTATAAGCAAACGAAAAATGAAGTATTTATGCGTTTTTCAAAAGAATTCACTTTGAGAGTACATAAAATGCATTAGGTATCAAGAAAATGATAACTTATAAAGAAAGTATTCAACAAAGGAGAATAGGTGAAGAGTATTCGATAAAATTATTCATAAAATATATAAATAAATAATAAACACTCTTAAAGCATATAAAACACAAAAAGGGATGGACTGTTTTAAACATAGTTTGTTAAAGACTTCTTTAATCCAGTTGGTATGTATGTGTGTGTGCGCGAGCACGTAGCTGAACGCGCATAAGACAATGTTTACAACTATTATCCGGTTTTAATAAATTGAAAGAAAATACAAAGACATTTTTTTGCTAAAAATTATTACCTAAAGGAATGAACAGGTGGAATATATATATATATATACGAATAAGAACACAGTGAAATACATTAAATGAAGTGCTTTTCAGTATCAAAATGTAGCGGAACTGTGCACCTGGTTTCATTCAAAATCTTATCAATACATGGAAAAGTATATATATATATATATATACATATATATATATATATATGCGCATGTGTGTGACAAAGATAACCAGCATCAAAACAATCAACAAACTCACTGTTTGCTTACAAACCAATAAAGTTGGGAAATAAATTGTACCTTGGACTATACCGATAATAAAAGTGGCATGAATAACCTCGGTTTAAGGTGTTTTCGGTTCTATCAAACAAACAGCCAAAGATAAAAAATACGAACAGTATTCCCCAGTGTTTCTAACGGAATTTCGGTCACACACACAAACACACACGAAAAAAATTATTTTGCTTTTACTTAGTATGTAAACTTGGTGTAGCATGAGCACTGAGAAATGTTAGACACTAATGAGGGTATATAATAATAATAATAATAATAATAGCTTTATTCCAAAAACAGTACTAATGATACAGCAAGGAATTTTCAGCATTCACTACAATATTGCATCTAATTTACTCAAAAACGACAAAAAAAATTATAAATACACACTACATAATAAAACGATTGTTACAGCAGCTACATAGCAAAATACTGTATGCAATACGGTGAAAAATATGCATAAAGTATAAAATTGTAGTAATAATAGTAATACCAACTAAAATAAAATAGCAGAGTAATAATTAAACGACAGAAAGTGTGATACCATAAAATACAGAAAGATGAACTATGAAAGGGTCGATTTACTGTGCTAATTACATAGTAACTTATGTGTTTCACGTCTAACAGAGTCTTCATCACATAAAGTACGGGCTAAATAGAGTATTGTAGAATTTCTATACTTAGTGGTACGAGCATATAACTTCTTATATTGACTTCTCGTCCTACCTGATGAGATACAAGGGGATAGGTGTGAATAAAGGGGGTGCAGAGGGTCTGACAGTATAGCCTTTGCCCATTTTGTACAGGAATTTATATGCCTCTCGACTATAGTATTGGCGAGCTCATTCAGTGGCAGACCACAAGCCCTACATTTTGCATCTATTTACTCGTATAAAAAGAATAATGAAATGACTACAAAAGTACTTCCAGAAATTACGTTCGAAGGGAGCTTTCATACACTCTATTCTTAATTTCCTGATAACAGAATAAACAAGAAAGCTGTGGAACGTTATTCATCAGTATCAGCTCTAAGTCATTTATCTCAACGTTTATGGTCGATGTACTACGTGAATTGACGTCTCACACAAACCAACAAAATCACTTCACTCAGCTGACTCTGTGTCAACCAAAAGACTCAACAACGAAAGAAGATAAAGCCAACATCATCTACAAAATAGATTGTAACAACTGCGAAAAATACGACATTGGCCAAAGTGGACATCCCCTTCGTCTTCGTATACATGATCATAAACTAGCCGTCAAAAGACATGACATTCACTCCCTTGTGTCGCCTCAGTGCATACAGACAATCACGGACAACGTTCAAAATATTAAACAAAGGAAACACCAAGAATGCTAGAGAATTTTTAGAAGCCTGCCTGATATTCCAGTGAATCGTCAATCAATAGACACATCGAAATAGACAAAATTTACCAACCAACAAGGAAGTCTCATATACAAAGGGTCAAAGTTCAACTCAAGGAAACAATCAGTACCAATACAGGTAGCTTAGAGAGTGAGAAAACATTCGAAAACAACCAATCGCCCTCAAGGTCACCAGGAGAGATGACTAATGGTGAATTTGTGGAGAAGTCTAAAAGCTCACTTCAACAAATTAAAGTATGCGCTGAAGATATTGCCCGGTAGGGCAATGAAAGCTTCGCAAATAAACCATTCAGGTCAGAGAACACAACTACATCAAAACCACGTAAATTTTCACGACCGACCCTAAGAATAGTGACTCACAAGTATTCTCAAGTCTATAACGCCTATTTTTATTAGCAAATAATACTCTAGCTCTTCGTTCAATGTGTCTAGTTTCAGTGAACATTATGAAAGTTATTAGAACAATTTATTCAAAAACATCGTCAACAACTAATGGATATTTTGAAGCATTTTACCATTCAATACTAAGTATATTACAAGCAGAAATCATATATACAAAATTGTGGACACTATTTACTACTAGTGCAAAACCCGTTTCCACGAACATAAGCTAGCCGTCAAAAGATATGATATCCACTCCCTCGCTCATATCACTACATACAGACAACCACGGACGTCAATTCGACTGGGACAACGTTCAAATATTAGACAGAGGAAACAACAAGAATGCTAGAGAATTTTTAGAAGCTCGGCATTCCAGTGAATCATCAATCAATAGACACAGAAATAGACAAAATTTATCAACGGATAAGAAAGAAACCTCACACACAAAGGGTCAAAGTTCAAGTCAAAGAAACAATCAGTTCCAATACAAGTAGCTGCCTAGAGAGTGTGAAAATACACAAAAACAATCAATCACGTCCGAGGTCACCAGGAGAGATGATTAATAAACCCGTGAAGAAGTCAAAAAGCTCACTTGAAATTGAAGTATGCGCTGAAGATGTCACCTAGTAGGGTGATGAAAGCTTCGCAAATCAACTATCCAGCTCAGAGAACACAACCACAGCAAAACCCGTCTGTCAGACTGAATCTCTTTTTAATAAGTGTAATTTAAAACAAATAGCTGGTGTGAATCAAATTACCCAGTAAATGAAGTAACAGTAGGATGTTTACATATGAATGAGTCTTCTCATAAGCCTAATTTTCATGACACTTAAAAAAAGGAAAGATTGCACAATACGTAACATATTTACAAACAAAATACACTGGTCACACCAAATTATCATTTATAATGTCACTGAGAGAGAGATAATCTCAAGACAGAAACTTGATAAAAGTTATATGGAAAACGATAAGCAAAGATTTGTAAAATAAAGGCAAATCAAGTGACTGACTGAATTTCAATATACAATATTGCACAGAAATGAAACCGCTCAAGTTGCCACGCTCCATATAGCACAGCAAAAGCAGAAAAAGGAAAAAATGGAAGGAAGAATAAGTACGTGGAAAAGCATGAAGACTTATGGATCTGGGAGATTACAAAGAGTGAACGCATCTGCGCTACTGAGAAAGATTTTGAGTCATATCACCAATATTCTCAAGGCACTGGGGTTGTTAGCTTCTTCAGGACGCCAGACAGACAGCCTACAACTCGAACAAATAGTCAAAGACTTCATGGATTGATGACAGGTTTTAATGTGGCCACCCCTAACTCCTTTCCAACCTAACCTTGTTTCAGTTAACACTGCTTGACGAGAAAAGTGGACCCTCCGCATGTTTACCACATGCCTTAACCACCTCAATCGATGCAGCTTCATAACCCCATCGATTGACTCCTTACATAACACTCTCTAACCAACCTCACCATATTATACCAATTAACTCAGGATATAGAGCTCAAAAATCCCTGGACAAAGATAACTGGCCTAATGGACTGATTACTGACGAAATCTCATGAGAAATACAAGATGGTAGTGTAATGTTTACCAACTTACGTCATCTTTGGCTAGCCTTTTCATATCTTCCACTTCCAGTGGTAATGTCTCACCGAAAGAACTGCTATTCAGTACACAACTCCTTTGATTGATTACAGAATACCACACCTACACCAGAGATGACGTAAGTTGGTAAACATTACATGACTATTTTGTATTCCTGGTGAAATTGCGTCAGTAATCAGTCCATTAAGACTAATGCAACTTACCGTACAAATTAGATGGTCAACACGCTTGACTACTCCACTCCCTATCCTAAAGCTAGGAGTCAGTGAAGTCCAATACTACAGCATTATATCATACCTGATGGCAGCAAATCTTTTACAGAATACTCCTAGATCTCTGTTCAAGGTGTTCAAAAGACTCTACATTTATATTCAGTGTCCTCAAATAAAAGGACAATATGATCTGCATACTGGAAGGGACTTTTCCCTCACAACAATTCAATCACTAAGTCTCTGAAGTTGATTAAAGTTATATCCATTAGTACATCTATGATGAAATTAAACAAATATGGGAAAAATGAGTATCCTTGATGTGCACCACTGGTTGTCATCATTTAAGATAACAACTTACCATAAATTGTAACACGACTACATGAGTCTGAGTAAACTGCCCTGACTGGAGTGACATATTTGGCTGGCACTCACTTTACTGTCATATATTGCCATAGAACCTTTCAGTCGATAGATTCAAATGTCACCTTCAGGTCAAGAAATGCAAAAAGTGATGGATGCCGGTAAGAATATCAATGCTGCAGAAACTGTTGAAGTTCATTCACATAGCGTTCACTATAAATGGCGATAACAAACGGAGTGAATAGTGGAATATCAAATAATCGATTAGAACATGTTTATGTGTTTAGGCTAAATACTGCACAATAAGTGCACGAGAATCTACTATACCCATCTTACTACATAAACTACAATGACTTTTAACATAAGAGTGATAGCAAATCATACAAATCACTAAAACATGTACTGAAGATGGCAGGATGAAATATATGAATTTTTACTAAACAACGAAATGAATAAAATAAAAGCAGGAATCACTACATTACTACAAAGCCTCTGTAAGAACTGGCGCGGAATTATATTCCTGTCCACACCATGCAAAATATTAAATCGTGTCATCCTGGAGAGCATAAAAGATTTACTGGATGCTTAAGTCTGACCAGAACAAGCTGGATTCAGGAAAAGCAAGTCATGCACGGGTTAAATAGTAACTCTACGAATCATCACCAAACAAAGCTAAATTAGAAGTCAGATCTTTACCTCGACTTCACCGACTTTGAAAAGTAATTTGGGAACTGCTTCAACACTTTATTCTACCACCAGCTATAAGACAAGGCCACATGTCAAATGATCTACAACGGAAAACTCAGCGAAGAAGTCTTTGAAGTGAATACAGAAGTAAGATAAGACTGTCTAGTATCACCGATGATATTCCTAATTGTGGTGTAGTGGATCATGCGGCAGACCTTAGGGAATGAGGAAGTGGGGATACATTGGACGGATAAGAAGACTGTAGAAGATGTGAACTTTGCAAATGACTCCTGTTTAATTTCACATAAACCCGAAGGTCTACGGGTGGAAACCAAGAAGTTTGTAGGACAGGCAGGGATCGGGAACAGGACTTCAAGTGAATATAGAGAAAACGGAGGTGATGCAGATAACCAACCAACCAATAACAAGTACAAGTCACTATCAACGGAAGAACCCTGCTTATCTAGGTAGCATCGTCCCAACTGCAGGCGGGACGGATAAAGGAGTCAAAAGCAGGATCGAAGAGGCTAGACAAACTTTGATCTCTCTTAAATCAGTTTGGAGATCTTCTGCACTTAGCATAAACAACAAGATTCGGATTTTCAGTCAGTACTTCTACATGGGTCATAAAATTGGCTTAAGTGTGATGAAAAGCATTTCCAGCAGGCTATAAACTTTAATCAATAACCAGCTTCTCTACATACTGAAGAACAGATGGCCAGAAGGAATCAGCAACAAGAAACTTCGGGGACAAACCGATCAAGCACCTACTGATCAACAGGTATACCGGGAAAGAGTGAAGATGGATCGGACACACGCCTATAGGACCACTGGGTGACATCTCACTCCAGGCTAACGAGTAGAAAACTGACAAGAAACGATGAGCTGGCCGTCCAAGGATGATATGGAAGAGATAGTGCGAGGAGGAGATGAGAGCTTATGGGCAATCGAGGAGCCAACTGAAGAGCAACGAAGAGAATATGAAGCCATATGTTTCATTCGTGAACCAATGGAATAATAGTATAATAATAAGTATCGCAATGAAATGAATTTTCTCATCAAACGAACTAAAGCGATTCGGACAAAGAAATAGACTGTTAAACACGTTACTGAAAAAAATGTACACTAGGGCTGTAAATTTTTGTAAGTAGAATCATATTACTTATTAGTAGTAAAACCTGTAATACACAAAAAGTCTCACCTGACAACTGCCCGTCTGATATCGCCAACCGTGTGAGTATTATTTAGTCGAACTACGATTCTAAAAAAATAACAGAAAACAAAAATCTGCTTCTAACATCTACTTTAGAAACAGTTTAACATCAGCTGATGAAGTACGTCAACTAAAGCATAAATGATAAAGATGACACATGATTATATGTCTTCTCAACTGCATTCCCTCGATTCCCACTGATTTGATGAAATATGCAGCTCCATCCATTGGAACGAATACGAAATGTAATGCGTGTACATAACTGCTACCTTCCCCAATGTTAGCTGAAGAAGGAAAAGGTTAAAGAACCGTGAATGATGGTCAGTACGAAACACGACTGTTGGTGTGAGCCACGTAGACAGGTATAAAGTGATTGATTAGAGTCGTCGGGATACCGAGAATCAATGTTAGGAGACTGTTAGTGACTGGATTAAAGTCGTCTGAAATGGTGAAGACGTACGCACTACTTATTACCCAGATTCTGGAAATTTTCATTAGTTTTTATTTGCTTACTCTCAATGTCAGGAAGGTTTTTTGGATAGCGGTTAGACTAAAAGCAGTTACCATGGGGTACATGGGCTCCAGAATCCAATCGGATCAAATGGCGTATGAACCCATATGGGTCACTGGAAACCATGGGAATGCAGCTCCTGACGCTGCTCCGCTGCCTTGCGGATTAGACTCCAAGTCAAAGGCTCGGGGGTGGTCTCTTAATAAAACCACCTGCTTCGGTCTGGGCGCCCGGACAGTGTCTCGGCCCTCACACAAAGAATTGAATAAAGCAACAAACAATCAATGAAACTTATCGCGTGCTATTACACGTGTTGCAATTTTCTTCTTTCTTCCCTTCCCGATGATAGTTAACCAATACTGTTTGAACTTGTTAAGCATGACTGTTTTCCTTCCAGATAAAGTTCTTTATCCGTTCTCTACTTATATATATATATATATATATTTCTCTTCTTTCTTTTTTTCTTTTGATCTATGTTGTTTTATTATTATTGTGTGGCGCATCCTTCTTGGTGCCATATTATACCAAGTTTTTATGCGTTTAAATAAATAAATACTCTCAATGTCATTCTCTCTACTGTAAGTTTCTGTTCATCGTAGTATCATTACTACACATCTCTTCTCTACTTTTGTGAGCTTTCTTTAATTGCGAAAGTTTGAACTGACGTCAATCTACATAAAGTTCTACACTGACAGATCAGTCAGGTATTCGATCAGTATGGTGCTAAAACTAAAAGTTAGGGAATGTAAACAGTGATAGATTATCTTAGGCTAGCTAATCGTTCCCCGACCGATAGCTGCTACCTTGACATGGTGGTCGGGCTTGCATATCACAAAGACCCGACAAACTACACCAGCTGGAACTAGTGTTCATGCAGGTCCTACCATGCCAACTCGAACTACTGCACATCTGTGCACAGTTTTACGTTGAAACCAGTCAGTCAGCTAATCGTCCTACGCTAACTACAACAGAGTTAGTACGGAATATATAAGTAAGTTTTGAAGTATTGGTTTTGTAGGGATTTGGCTGATTGGATGGAAGATTTCATCATGAGCTGACATAAGTTGGAACCATTGGAAAACCTAGGAGTACTCGACACCTGTTTCGTCCTAGCTTGGGACTCCTCATCAGTACGCACCCATCGGCGTTCAAATCCAGGTCTACTACTTGCAAAGTAATCTGATGCTCACTAGCGACTGGTCCTATTCAGACAGTGACCTGGGGTTCTAATGGGAAGTCGTGACCAGTAGGGTACAACAGTTTGAGGGTGAGGACAGTTACTCATAGAAGAAGACATTGCAAAGTGATTGCACTATGTCGTGAATTGGCAGAAGTTAGAATTCAAGGGCTGCCCATTGGATCGGGTCCCAGTGGCTCAATGGTCTACAAGCTCACTAGCCTTGTAAACAGAAGGTCCTGAGTTCGAACCCCGGTGAGTGCGTACCGATGAAGAGTCCCAAACTAGGACGAAGCAGCTGTTCAGTACTCCCTGTAGGTTTTCCAATGGTTCTCTAACTGATGTCAGCTCACGATGAAATCCTCCATCCAATCTAAGTAAGTAATAATGAAGCATGCGGAACAGTGTTCACAACCAACTTAATGTCTGCACACTGGAAACATAAACACAATTATCTAGCAAGCTTAATATACCACATAGCTTTCATTAAGTGTTTAACAGGTATAAAATAAGACAAATCAACTTTGAAGTGAATCATCACAATCGAGTTTATTCTCAAATGTGTTTATAGAGTAAAGACGATATACAGCAGTCTAGAAGCTAACCTACAATGCTGTAAACACAGAAAGAAATACGCTTACTTTACATACAAATTGTTTGTACAGAAAATGCCATAATTAGGTAAACACTGATTAGTGAAACTAATTTGCCTAAATTGTCTTGAATAAAATGAATCAACGTGAATTAAATTCCTTCGGAAAATCAATATAACAGCTTATATCACAGTTTCTAATTTTGCATCCGATTTGAATGTTTCTCAACAATTAATACACACCCTTAATTTGAACAATACATATACATAGGCAAAATCTAATTTTAAGAACATGAAAACTTGTTTTTACTTTGTTATCTATAAACTAAGTAGAGATGCATAACAGTTAAAAAAATACAGAAGATTAATGGGAACTTATCTGCTGCTAGTCGCTACTTTAAGTAAATTTTGAAGATAACTTAAAATCATACAACCTTAATACTATGCAATAAAATAATTGTTTTGCATAGAAGATAAAAGCTCACCTTGATCCATCAGGCAAACGAATTTGTATTTGTGTGACTGGCTTTGAGTCGTCCACGCTAACAGGCGATGATTTTTTTGTTTCAGCATTCTCAGTGACTTTTGGTTCAGTTGACACCATTTGAGGAAGTGGAAAACCAAGCATTTGACCTGTACCAGAGAAAGGTTTAATCTTGGGAGTAGGAGGAGCATGCCATTCTTCATGATGATGATCTTCAAGCATGACATTAACCATGCCTCCACCAGCAGATCGTATAAGTTCCTAAAAGAAGAGGTGAGAAAGAAACAACGCTTATTACTAGATGATAAACATGTATCGTTGTTTGTTATGCTGAACACCACAAAGTGATAAGTATTTGCATGATTGTATTAATTTTAATTATCCCCAACCGACAACTGCTACCTTGCCGTGGTGGTCGGGCTTGAATACCGCAGTGACCAAACAAGCTAAACTGGCTGGGACTCATGTCCCTGCAGGTCCTACCATGTCAGGAAGGTTGTTTGGATAGCGGTTAGACTAAAAGCAGTTACCATGGGGTACATGGGCTCCAGAATCCAATCGGATCAAATGGCGTATGAACCCATACGGGTCACTGGAAACCATGGGAATGCAGCTCCTGACGCTGCTCCGCTGCCTTGCGGATTAGACTCCAAGTCAAAGGCTCGGGGGTGGTCTCTTAATAAAACCACCTGCTTCGGTCTGGGCGCCCGGGCAGTATCTCAGCCCTCACACAAAGTGTGGCGCATCTTTATTGGTGCCACATTGTACCAAGTTTTTTTCTGCATTTAAATAAATAGATAATTTTGATTATCCTATGACATACTGACCCCATTAAATAAGTAGACCACAAAATAACCCGACCTGTAGTCTTCAATATCCTAAATTCAGTAGTCATGGTCATCCAACCTTCAAAATATTTAGGCAGATCACATAGAGAGAAGGTAACTTTCATTAATCACAAAGGGGTAACAAATGTCATACCATTAGAACTTTCAGTCAAGTTTTCAAAATGGTCATCAATCTAGGATACTCGCCATCGCCGTGCACTTTGCATCGATATTAGATGGCTCGAAACAATTGGCAGGAAACCACAGCTGATTGGCATCCAGAATCAAGGAGTACTAGCAGTTTCCATAATACGGGTGTTGAGCTGATTAGCACAGTGGTAGGACCTCTCATACATCGCTCCTCGGATTTATGAGCAAAGATAATGCATCGATTTATTCTGAGTGACGTTGGTAAAAGATGACATCAGCTCAAATAAGAACACAGATTCTCCTTGCCAATGAGTGTCATAAGCCACTAAGCCTACATCTAGGTCTTCCTATCATATGCATCCAATCATCCAACAGCAAAGACGTCAACAGGACCTAGATGCTACCAACCGTTCACACAGGCAAATTACCACTCTTTTGCAATTACCAAGTGAGAGGTTTTCAGACAATACCTACTGCTGAAGAACGCATATAGAATACATGATACATCGTTGAACTCCCTTTATGAACACTTGTGAGTTATGCAAAAACGAAAACAGTGACGGCCATATCAAGAAGACATCTATTGCAATCAAAGCAAACAAAAATAGCATAAGTAAAAACCTATCAGCCTCCTTATATATACTGTCAAATTAATTGCGAAAAAATAAAAAATTCAGAAATTACGAAAACTACTCAACTACCTACAATGTAGGATGAACAAACACGGCAAGAAAATGAAGCAGAATCATTGCCAAACGACACTTACTTGAGGGATCTGCCCACTTTGTATAGCATTGAAAAATTCAGAAGCTTCTGGATCAGTATAAGAACGCAACGGTCCACTGTCTAGACTGAAGCCATCACGCCACATTTTTACAACAACATTCTGTTCAGAGACGCTGCTTGAGCTGGGAGCACAAGAAGCAGTTGACTCTAACTGCGGTGTGGCATTAGGATCGTCACCTAATCTAAATAATTGGAAAAAAGATTAAACAAGATTACGGACATATGTTTCGATGTGGGATTTGGAAAAAGAGAAATATGCATAAAGTAACAATGGAATGCAGTGTAAACAATAGCAGATCTGATAGTGTGAAATATTCCCATATTATGAATTAAAAGTCAATCTGAACAAAGAATATTCTTTTCAATAATTTCTCTTCAGGTTCTTACAATTATAAAATATAATATTGGTTGTCGTTACAATAAAGGCCAGTTATACGGCGGCAGATACATTTTTAACGTAGAATAACAGATTAGTTATGGGGTGTCAAAATAAATAGTCGTATTTCTGTGACAAACGTGCTAGGCTGAAATCGATTAGAAATATTGTAAAACGGGAGACAATGGTGGTGATTAAACCGGAACTGTGTATCCAAAAGGAACACGTCCAGACGCTGTTCCTACCGTGGCCAACCTTGGATTGAAGATTTTTCTTCTCACCAAGAGTGCTCCTTCCCCTTAACCCTCTTAGTTTTTTTTCTTTTTACTTGACTTATAATTATAAAAATTATTATAACAGTTATTATTATTCGTCACAATTTATGCCCTATATGCAAACGCTCCCTCAATACTATCGAATTTTCATTTATACGGACTTATTATTAGTGATATTATCTGTTTTCTCAATATATGTCTCCACCTGTTTCATTTCACATATTCGTTATTTCATTATGAACCTCTCATTGTAGTCTTACTATCTCCTGTTTAACACAGACCACTTTGTACTAGCCACTCCACTCACCTGACACCTTTTATAACCTTGAACTGACTGACTTGTCAATTTTCCTACCCCACACTCTACAAATCTATTATGAATAATCACCACCATTGTCTCCCGTTTTACAATATTTCTAATCGATTTCAGCCTAGCACGTTTGTCACAGAAATACGACTATTTATTTTGACACCCCATAACTAATCTGTTATTCTACGTTAAAAATGTATCTGCCGCCGTATAACTGGCCTTTATTGTAACGACAACCATTATATTTTATAATTGTAAGAACCTGAAGAGAAATTATTGAAAAGAATATTCTTCGTTCAGATTGATTTTTAATAGCAGATCTGAACAAACTTAACGACTTATATGAAAAGACAAGATGATATGTAGGCGAAATTATATCTATTAATGTTAAATGGAGTATTAGAAGAGTGGAAGTGAAATTGTGTTGAATCGTTACCATTTAAAATAATGGGTTCCAGATTCAGGTCACAACAGGGGAACTACCACCGACTGGAATGTAGGCATATTTAGCTGACAAGTTCAAAAATCGAACGCACACACTTCATTCTGCTACTAAGCAACACCTACCAAACAATATTTCCAGTAGTTATTTACTTTAGCTTTATGATATTTACCGGCAACAGTTTGTATACAATGAATCCATACTATAATGTCAAACCGTTCATTGTGTTCATACTCATAAAACATTTTAATTAATACAGTGAAAACAATAACTTCCTGTTTAAAAGAATAGTTGTAATTCTTATCTAGTCCTATAATACTGATAAACATGATATGATAACGAACAAATACTATTTTCACATACTATTATATTGGATAAGGTAAAATGAGCTGGATAATCGTGAATAAAAATTTTCAACGAAAAAACAGCAAGAGAGATTTTTAACAAAGAACATCACCATGCTTCAGATTGTATCAAGTTCAATGTTATAAGAAACTTTTAGTTTGAGTCACACTCATTCATAAAGTACGAATTCAGGAAAATCAAAATCAAGTCAACAACAGTTTAACATACAGTTAAATGCTTAAAACGGGATACAGTACTAGGTAACACATATTCGATACTAGAAGAACTCAACCAAAGATACAAATCCCTACCACCTCTGTTGCAGCCTGACAGTCACTCCAACATTATTTAACTTTTGTTGTGTCCAAAATGGAATAAACAAATGATAATAGGGTACCACATTGTATTGACAAATTATAGATAGCAGATAAATCGTTTTGCCTATACCATAGTTGCTTGTCTGACTTGCACATCGCAACGACCCAGAGAGTTATACTGGCTGAAATGAACGGCCTTGCAGACACTAGCATGCCAGAAAGGATGGTTGGATAGAGGTTCGACTACCTTAGGGTACGTTGCTTAATTTGTTGTGGAGTTTTGACAGATGAGTCATGACGCATATATGTGCAACACTCGTGAATTATTTCATTCAAGTAACCGACAAGTCAGTTATACTGCCTTCTTGCTCAGAGTCAGAAAATGTAAAAATTCTAAATCCCAACCTAATCCACAGTAATCCACAGCTTATAGTAAGGTCTCCTGTATGGTGTAAGAATAGTGGTGAAATAAAGATTACAAAACCTACTACTCGATTCTATTTCGGTGAACAGTTGTCTGTGTGCTGCCCAGCTAAACTAACCAACTGACTAGTTTCAACGTAGAACTTTGCACAGATGTGCAGCAGTTCGAGTTGCTACTCTCCCTCCAAACAGTACACAAAGAGAAGAGAGTAAAGAGAGATTCAAAAGAAAGAGATAATAAACAGAAATGTGAGGTAAAAAGAATAGCAATATGGAAGACCAACAGAATTTTATTGGATATTATAAATCACAAAGAGTGAACGCATCTGCGCCAACCGTTGAGAACGATTTCGAGATATATCACTAATTAATAGAGAGAAGACCAGTAGTTCAGCGAAGAGTCTCTCTTCTCTCTATTAATTTCCGAATGGGGATTTTTCATGAATATCACTAATTGTCTTTAGCCATTGTTTCTTACAATCCCGAGGACCCCAAACATGGAGTCTGCACCTCTCTACATGACTTAAGCTAACTGTTATGGATTTCATTGACTGATGAAGCCATGTTTTGGGTTGACCACCAATAACTCATTTTGCAGTCTGTCGAGGAAGAGGTGACTAGGCATGCACAACACATGTCCTAACCACCTCAATCGGTGTAACTTCACAACCTCGTTGACTGATTTCCCCCTCCTTACCTAGCAATCGACGCCTAACCTCAATGTAGCTCACCTTATTATACTACTTAACATGGGAGATTGAAATCAAGCACCTATGATCAAAGATAGAGAGCCTTTTCACGTCTTCCACTTTCAATGGCCATGTCTCACAGCCATAAAGGAGAACGGAGTGGACTGCTGAGCAGTACATTCGGATATCACGTCTATTAAGCTAGAGAGGGCGTAATTTGGCATATGCCAAACGAGCCTTCTGTATCTATGCTGAGATTTCGTCAGCGATCAACTCGTTGGGGTCGATATGACTTCCCAAATAAGTGAAGTGGTCAACACGCCCCTCCCACGCCGCCCCTTATCTTTAAACTAGGCGTAGTTAATGTAGTCCAGTGCAGTCCTGTAGCATCATCTTACATTTGACGGGAGCAAGTCACATGCTAAACGTTCGAAGCTTGATGCTCCTCAAGATGTTCAGAAGACTCTGTCTGTTTTTGTCAGCGTCTTCACCTGGAATGACTATATCATCTACATATTCTAAATTCAGAGGGATGATCCCCTGGTAACAGGTCAATCCCTGAGTCGCTGAAATCAGTCAGAGTTAAGTCCATTAGTACATCTATGATGAAATTCAACAGAAGTGGAGACAGTGGGCATCCTTGACGGACACTAGTTGTCACCACGTCAAATGACAACTCTCCTTAGGCTCTCACCTGGCTGCATGAGTTCGAGTAGATTACCTAGAACAGTCCGATTTATTTCCTCGGCACTGCCTTCACAGACAAACACTGCCATAGTACCTCTCGATCGGCGGAATCAAATACCGCTTTCAGGTTATAATGCCTAGCTAAATGGACCCGTAAGACAAAGGAAAGACTGTGATACTCGTCGGTGTTTTTTTTCACAATCTCCACAATCTGAATTTTGGAGCAATTAAAGAATGAGTTGTCAACTTTGATGGTAAAGGTGAAACGCACAGATAGGGTGACTGGACCGATGAAACAACAATGGTGAACGTGTGCAACAAATATAAGGACAAACACTGTCTCGTCTGACAACCATCAAAATCAAGTCAACAATGGCAACAAAAAGACTACCTTATGTTATGGATATAAAACATTAATGTAAGATTACCGTACCTTTTAGAACACCTGCGTGGACTACAACTGTGCATTACATTGTGAATGTGTATACCTACAACTGAATGGACGTTAACAAAGAAGCGACGAATTCCTCACGTGTCTAACTTATGAAAATATAAATCCTGTATTTAGTGAGAAAATAAAATTATAAGGAATGGTCCAACTGGCTTGTGAATGTACTTCAGTTGCCCACTACCAATGTCCAGCCAGAATGAGATAGAGATGTCAGTCCTCCAAATGTAGTTGAGATTTTAAGAGCTGCGCCTAGTTCAAAAAAAGGCGAAGAGGTACAGTCTGATAACATGACTCCAGAATTGTGTAAGGGTGGTGATGAATAGTTAACCAAATTAACTTAGATATTAGGCAGTGTATGGAACTCTGAGATAGTTTTGTTGGAATGACATAAATTGACTGACCCGTTTTATAGGAGAGGAAACAAGTCGTGTGATAACCACAGAAGGAACAACCTGATGGTAGTATATTACAATAAACCTAGATAGTATACGACCAAATTTAATTGACAAATAAATTACACAATAATGACAATCAATCTTAGCAATAATCTTTGATACCCAACTTACTTATAACCAGCCCCACTGAAAGGTAACCGTTTACTGGATTTACTCTTCAGTTCATCATATTTGGTTGCATCTAACACTTCTGCTCCTTTGCCTTTAGCAGCTTGGAAAAGATTGCGAACAAACACATCAGGAGATTGTGAAGGGTTAGGAACGATTTTACGATCACGTCCTGGAGGACCAAGAACTTGTTGACCACCTCCCCCAGTTTCTGAACCACCAACATAAAATGCTTGCCTTTCGTCTGACTCATCATCACTAAAAAAAGTAAACATTTAATGTACTTTTCTCTACTCAGTAAATCAAAATACATCAGAGTTAATTCGAATGAGAAAAGAAAGACAATCGTGAATAAGCAATACTTTTAAAAACACACGTTAAAAATAAAGATCAATAATACTAATATAGTGTTATTACTAAAGTGGATGCCTCCAGGTAATTTAATCAGACACCTTTTCTTCCTATTTTGTAACGGCACCTACTATATTCCTCCTATAAATCGTTTGCCTCCGAAATTCACCATCCTTTTGAATCTTATCGAAGCACGATAATCACTAGTTATTTGGTCGTTCTAACGGCAAATGCCCACAGATACATTCAAACCGCATCAAGACAAGATTATGTTTAGTTAGCTTCAGGCATGATAAAGAACAATAGCAGTGTTAGTTCAAAACAATTAAGAATCTAAACAACAACAGCATTGGAGTATTGTGAAGGTTGGTACTTATTTAGACTTTTGAAAACATACACAAATGTGATGAAAGTCATTGTAAAATACGATTCAATCGAAAGTTTAAACTACATAGGGCAAAACCTTAGGTTGTACGACCTAAATATTCTAAATGGGATGACCTAGTATTGATTGACTAACATTCAGCAGTAATCTGAACCAAAACAAGCGAGCCAGCTCTAAATGAAGTCAGTTCAGTGGAGTCAAACTGAGGTGACACAATAGGTTCTGGAGGAAGACTTTCAGAGACATATCAAGATAGTGATTAAGTTAGTTGGATTCAGTTTACATTTACCCGATATACAGGTATAATGGTCGCTTTGAACAGAGATGCAACTCACGGTAAGAACGCGCACTTAATTTTATCAGTCGAAATTAACAGCACAAAAAAGAGCAATGAAAAATAGAGAATAAATGAGAGTGTACAAGGAAAAAAGTCAAGGTAACCGACCGTTTAGGACATGGAATCTTTCTCAACTAAAAGGAGTTGAGTGAATAAGGATGTTCCTTTAAATATGACACCTGCGCAAAACAAGACCTATGAAAATATGGATTCTTTGAGTTTTGACATAGTTTTTATTTCGGTTCTCTAACACAGACGACATCCTTGGGCAAAAGCACTATTTTAAGAAGCAAGAAAACAAAGGATATGTCAGCTAACAGTCTCTTAAAGCATCGAATCACGCCTCCATACTCGTTCATTTATTCTATGCGTGTCGCTTTGAACTGGTTCAACCACTTCTTTCCAATCATACTATTCCTATGATTTTAGTGTAATCTATTTGAGGTGATACGCATCCCATTTCTATGATAGTGACCGGTCTATTGATGTTTTTGTAGTTAATGGAAAGATCTGGTGTCAAGATAACATATAGCAGTCCTTAATGCGATATATTAGTCACATTTGAATTACTAAAAACCTAACAGTTCCTCCGAAAGTGCCATGCGCAATTCCGGACCAACTTTTGTGTCCATTGACAGCCAAAATAAATAGATTGGTACGAAGAACTTGAATGAAGCTAGAAAGCGTTCAGTTTATATTAGCGGGACACTTCTCGTGATTTAAAGGCGTTTTACACTTCATTTTTACAATGGAATCAGTGCTTATCTATATTTACTGGACAACAAGGAGTTACCCCCCAAACTTGACTCTTTTTAAAGCTGGAAACTTGACCGTATATGGTTCCAATATTTCATAATTGTCCCTAATGTTTACATTGTTTCACTTTGGAATAAAATCTTGCTATGATACTGATTGAAGAGACCTAACTAGAACGTGCATGGAGAATTCAAGTAACGTATAAGCGTCGATGAACTGCATGATTCAGTGCATTATTGATCAAGACAGTAGTAAACTTCACGCTAAGACATGCATAAAAGTATAGAGAAGTAAGCCTCCATTATTCTGCAATTGGGGATGTTATATCTGCGAAGTAAATCATAGAACTTAGGATGGTATGGGGTTTTAAACAGGGGGCTAGTAACCTCACCTCTTATTTGCGAGAGAGCTGAAGGTTGTGATTTTGGGTTTGTTTGCCGATGAGGATTTGCTGAACGACGTCACATTTTCGTGCCCGCAGCTATCCTCAACTGGTTGTGAAGTTTGTTCGCCATGTGGAGGACTGTCCAAGTTTGTTGCATCCTCTGAGTCAAAAAAGGCTTTAATAGCTTCCTGTAATACTGTTATTAGTAGTATAAGTTAACTCGTACATCACAATCCCCATTAAAGGCTTCCAAGTAGTGTTCTGCTTCTGTCTCAGAAACCCCAGTAATATTGCAGAACTTTTCAATAACAGATGAGTCCATATCACCTATTTAAAACAGGAAACGGTAATGTTTTAAAATAAACAGTGTTTACACATGAAACCCGCAATTAAAATGTAACGCAGATGTCCGACATACACGCGCTGTTTCCAATATCCAATGCGAATGAAATGAGCATATGTAGAAAAGCGGATTCTGTGTTACTGTCACCTAATGTACTCTTCCTGGGTTTTCGGGTAGATTGTTTTGACGGCAAAGTTTGACAATAGCGTCCCAAGGGATGCGAACGCACGGGTGACCTTCAGCCTACCAGTCATAAAAATGAGGAACTTTTGCACAAAAAATGACGCAGATTTACAAGAAAACGCATGAAAACAGATGAAACAGGTGATATTTCTCTGAAGTGACTTAAAAATACGTCCCAGTTATAATGAAGAGTATCAGTTGCTAAATGTATTCATGTCAGTGGTATGATTATGAACAATAAATTTTGTTCGAAACGTCATCCAGTATACAGTACTGTTTTACTGTGTGATACATCTAATAACCAAACTAATATGGAATTACTTACTACCACAGTGACCAAGTTTTACACATATATTAAAACAAATTAAAGTAAATGACATCAACTCTAAATCTATCCCTAGTCCTAACCGTAACACTAATCTTGACCCTAACCCTAAACTTAACTCTAACCCTAATTACAACCCTTATCCTAACTGTGAACCTAACCCTTATGCTAATTAGGAACCTGATCTTAACCCTAATACTTACCTTCACCCTAATCCTAACCCTAACGAGCCATTAACACACCGTCGAAACATTATTTAAAAACGTGATCTGGGTGAAATTTTGCTGCTTAGATGGTGAATAACGTTGATGTTTTGGCTGTGATAGTGACAGGTGCCGTTAGCCAACGACTAGCATTCGTTCAAGGTTATTGGAGCGGTTGCACTCCTGGGACGCTATTGTTGAACTTCGCCGCTTTGACTGCCTTTGCGAAGTAAGGTTATATTAGAGTACAGTGGGATATTCACGATTTTTTCAGATGTTAAGCAAATATCCCTTCTCATTGCTGGCTTAAGTAAGCTGACTCATATGTATTTGCCCAAAACTCTTGTTCTGCCTTAATTAGGTATTCTAGTGAACGAACTCAGCCTCGCAGCCGGGCGGTTATTCACCACCTACTTTAAATTCCTTTCTTACGCAACATTTCCCACGCTGCATGCTCCCCCCCATGAGTATCCAGGTGGTTCACAGGTGGGGGACCAAAATTTCACTAGGTCCTCCTTTCGGTGCAACGAAAGTGAGTGCAGGCAATGTCAGGATTTAGTTCTTCGATGCTGAAAACATGTAAATGGCGAATCAAACTGGTAAGAGTTACTTTAATTTTTCACTCCCAATATAGGCATTGGGGATTCTCGGATAACCGCCTTCCACCTTGAGAAACTAAGTATCTAATAAAACCTTCTCGCTTCACCTCAAGAGGTACAACGACTCAAGGATCACAAAGTTGAATGGGTAGTGTTCACACTAATTATCAAAGTGACGTGATTAGTTTCCGACTTAAATACGTATCACTTGGAAGTATTTCTTAAGTTAAATCCATATTTCTAACCGATAGAAGCATAGCGTGGGTAATGTTTTATTCTCTCGTCCAATTCAACCGCTACTTTCATACTTTACAAGTAAAAGGTTGATCCTAAGGGTAAATTTTTAAAGTGACTCCTTCGGTTCAGTAGCCTATTGAGTGAGAACTTTCTACATCGTCTCCTCAGCCTACATCAGCTCACTCTTCGTTTATGTAGGCAGAATTGCTTCAATTATATGCAGACTCCATGGATAAACACCTCAGAGCAAGGCAGAATCGGAAAATCAACAGGAACCTTCATTAATCTGAAGCCAGCTTGGAAACCTACTACATCATGCATACAGAACGAAGTTCAGATTTTCAACACCAGTTTTCATTCAGCTCTTCTATATGGTTAAGAGATTTAAAGAATCCCTAAAAGCAATTTCAAAACGAGTCACACTTTTTCCAACAGCTACTCTCTTCGCTGGCTGAGTACAGGAGATAAGACGACCAGTTACAGGGGTAAGCAAAAATGAATGCGGCAAACGTACTGACCAACAACATTTCGCCCCACGAATATGCCAAGGGAAGGGAAGATGTATTGCGCAGGGTGATAATATGGTACATCTCTTTTGAATTGGTGCCACCTGCTTTACATTGTCGGCATATGTGTGGTTTATTTTATTTGAGTTGGAATTAGTTTTGCTTTTTTCCAGGCAAATGTAGCCCACTTGGTTTTGGTGCTTATTTTGCCCATGCTGCGTGAATTTATAAAACAATAGTTGTTCGACATTGTTCCTTAGTATGGAAGTTCTGTTTTTAGGGCAGAATACTTAAACAGACGGTCCAATACAGGTTTTTGGTATACCGAGAGTGCTTCGCGTACATTTAGACGACTGGCTTTTGAAAAATTTCTTTGCACTGTGAGTGTGAGGGGAATGCTGAGGGACACTGTGCGGTAGGTAAGTTTCCGTAGTTCCCTTAACTACAGGAGTGATCCAATAACAAATAAATTTAAGCAGAATAAAAATAACAAATCTACCTACAGATTTCGCTCAGTTTTATGGGTAGGAAGTTTTTGGCTAGTAAACCATTTACCATATTCATAAGGGCTGAAACTCCCAAAATTACCAGTCTTGTTAGCATGAATGCTGTTTCTTATCTACGCTTTCCGAATAACTAATAAAAGGAAAATCAGACACTGACGTTGTAAGAGTTATGAACATCTGAACAAATGAAGCAGTTGGTCCTGTGAATAATTCCTTACCGCGATTTCATCATCATTATATGCACTGGTAATTTGAGATCAGTGGAGTCGAAGTAACTGTAATAAAAGCCAGTGATTTAACGTATTGTTCACAACAGATGGAAGTTTAAAAACATATCAAAGGTGTATTCACAACTTGGCGGATGTTTATAGCCAGTCAACAGGAATATGTTGACTAAGGTCTTGCGGATCTCTGATTGCTGGCTATCGCCAACCATTACTAATTCTAAGATTTTAGCAAAAGTCACTTATTGTAGACCTTAAATTGGGAATCACACTTTTTTAGATTACACACACAAACTAATCTGCAAGTGTGGCTATCCACCTTAACATCAACACTCAGTATGTGCTGTGCTTCATCTTATATGTCCACAGATCTGTGATGAGTATATTTGCCGAAACACTGGACAACTCTGATCAATAAGATTCATAGACACTTAATATTTGCGAATAACTGGGCATGTGCAATTAACTTGAAAGGTTTCCCTAAATGGTCAAGAAGTCAACAACACAACACCACAGTTATAAAGACGAAAAGTAGTCACTTGAAAAAGTCACTTAGTCTCCATAATAGCTTGGATCAAACTCTCGTATATGGTGGAGTGAACACTTACACAATCTTCAGATAGAGATTTGAATGATTCTTAGAACTTAACAATCACACAGATGCTGAATTCCAGCTGACTGAATAAACTGAATAATAATAATCTGTAGGTTCATTCTATTTTGCAGTGGGGAACAGACTACTTCCGATAGTGTTTGTTAGTTCTCGCATTATTCACAGATGATCCAAAGAAAAATGTGCAAGCGCACTAGTGTTGTAAGATATAGAATTTGCCTCTGAATGACAACCGATGCTGTCACCTGGCTACAGAGTCACTTGTCACATACAATTACACAAGTGCATCCCCTCGGGAACCACAACTTATAAAGACTGTCCTATCAACAAAACTATATTTCTGAGTATCTTCGAGAAACTCAGTTATGTCCCAAAAGAACTAGTTTTCGGAAATCATAATCATATCAATATGCATAATAACAGTTGCTTATTGTATAACGAGAACCCTCAAGGAGGTCATTTTCTTCACTCATTCAAGCAGCATCGTTTCAACCACAGGGGACATGAATGAGGATGTCAAGGCCAGGCAGGAGCAGAAAATCAAGATCGAACTTCAATGATCCAAAATCAGTGTGACAAACTATCACACCTAGTATAAGGATGGAGATCCGGATTTTCTACACCATCGCCAATTCAATTCTTCAATATAGTTAGGAGATTTGAAGTTTCAATAGAGGCACTCCCATAAGGCTTCAGACATTTATAAGCAACCGCCTTCGCTCCAAAATGAAGATCAGGTGGTACCAATGTGGTTGAAGATTGAACGATGAATTCATGGTTGTTTGCTCAAACCCAACTCCTCCATAATTCTCGCGGGTGCCATCAATCAGGTAGTCATCGTCTCATCGTTCGCTGTCCAAAGGAAGACAGAAAACTATCAGAAGTATTATCGTGATTTATTGTTGTAACATTTATTCTTAGAACTTGTGTATAATAACCTTATTGTTGGTTAAGTATTGGCGTAAGAATAAAGGATTCTCGAGTCTCCAATCTGTGTTTCGGTTTTCGCGTTGGTTAATACAAAGTGTTTCTGAAAGTCTTCGAGGGACAATGTGAGGCCCAGCGCAGTAAGAGCTGGACATTGACAGTTTATGAGTCGGCTGACAGATTGTTAATTGAACATGATAGGCAACATAAAAATCTGAGAACATACCAACCAAGAACCTATTAACCGAAGAATGTGCCGAATAAATGTGATTGAATTGGCCACATGCTGAGTAGACCGCTAAGTATCGCCATGCGATGGGTCCTGGAGTGGATATTCAAGTGGCAAACGAGTTTGGTGTCCCGGGATGACATACGGGGATAGTTTTGGTAGGAGCCGAAGGTTGTGAGGATTCCAGGAGCCTGCTAAATAAAATTCTGAAGAACAGGACAAAATGGAGGTGTGCCTTTGAAACCCTTTGCTCCATACAGAAGCTGAGGGAGTGATAATAGCAGTTCAGTTAGGAGACATGACTGAGATTCTTTCTGAGTCTGTCCCGATGTTCTCTGAACATGATGCTCCTTTCCATAAATTTAAAAGTGAATTGATGTTTGACTGTGTATTTTAACCATTACTGTTCAGATGGATCCGCTGAGCTAAGGTTACCTTCGATCATATCATTTTCAACGTTAACAAGCTTGGTACAAACCAATTACCTGAGAAACTCCTCAGGTTATTCAG